TTTTGGGTTATTGGAAATGGAGACTTAATGAGCAAATTACTTGGTGTCAACAAAGCCACAAGTTTTGATTTTAATTTTGAAATTTTTTTAATTTTTATATTTTCATATTTTGAGGTTTTTTTAATAATTTTTTGAAGTTTAAATTTATCTGAAAAAATTTTAATTTAAACTATTGAAAAAAAAGAAGAAGTAAATCTGCAATATGAAGAGAGAGACTATAAAGGAGGAGAGAGAAGATGAATGGAAGAAAAAGAAGTAGATGAAGACTTTTTAGTAATTTTACAGTTTAAATTGACCACATCACCCACCCAATGCCATTTCAGCACCAAGCCATTTCTTGGTAATGGAGTAACAAGGATGTGGACGGAAAGATGACATTTGATGAGGTCATAGTCAGCAGAAGGGCTGATTTGCGGGTTTTGTCAAGTGAAGGGGCTGATTTGCTCTACTTTTAGGTAGAGGGGCTGATGTGCCACAACAATGGACGTAGAGGGGCTAAATTGCACCTTCTGCCATTGTCCAGCCAGATGAGGAATATCTGGGACCCAGGAAAGATCTTTCGACATGGTCGGGGGATCCGTATTCAGTCGAATCATTATTCAGTGTGTTTTAAGGAACTAGACATTGACTTTTGTTTAATTTCAAGATGAGGAATGGTGATCCCACCACCAACCCAACCTCATGGATTTAGACTGCTTACAAAAGGCTATCATTATGCCACTGATGGGCTCCTGATACGTCTGCAATTGAGAAAGCGGTCCGGACACGTGGAGTACTACCGCCAAGACACGATCATCTGGCTTCGAAGTCTGCAAACGGTTCTCTCTCCCCAACCCATTTTAGTTTAGTTAAACCTTGAAGATGGTGAGAACTTGGATAAACTAAACCTCTACGCTAACTGATATAATGAGGAAAGCAGCAAGCAAACAATTTTCATCCTATGTAGTCCCAAAAGCCAACCAGCCTAACAAATGCTCATGTTCATAAACCAATACCAACCCTTAATGAAGCCTTCTTAGTTCTTACACATATGCATACCATCTATCGCTTCATTAATTGATAGAATATAAATCCAAAGATTGACATTTAAACT